ACAAATCCAGGCTAGACAAGACTAGTCTGAAACCCTCAAGTGTAGAATGCTCTAAGATCTGAAACTTCCTAAGGGCTGACATGATCCCACAAGTAAAATCTGCCACCCCAGACTTCATGGTCACAATGCAAGCACACTAAAAACACCAAGAAAGCTAAATTTTAGCATGTATAATACATTAGTATAATACATGTGTAGACATGGATCCCACCCCCAAGATATGCTAATTACAGATATGCAAATATGCCAAAATGTAGAGAAGGGACAGAAGACCCTGAAATCCAAGACTGCTGGAGCAGGAATTTAGAGACGTGATGCAACAGTCCTCACCACTCTAGAGCAGAGAGCAAAAGAAAGATCTGGAAACACATTGAATTCACAGTTCTAGAGTCCCGGTGACATTTGCAAACAAGTTTGTACATCTTCACTACACTCCAAGTAGAGGACCAGTAACACCCGAGTCCAGATCTACCACAGTGTCCCTGTAAAGACACCAGAGCGTCAGCACGTACACCAGGTGTTGGCTCGTGTTGCCACTTTAAAGTGTATCCTTGGCCCTGTGGCCTAAAAGTGCTCTTACTTAGGGATTCTTTCACCCCGGGGCCATCTTCCACCTCAGACCCTTTGCTCCAAGACAGCAGGGTCCGCACCTACCACCCCATCACTGGTACAGCCACAAGTCAAGGAGTCAGAACTCAACAAATGTCTGCTGTGTAAACAGGTAATTGTGCAGAGATAACTACCCAGTTAGAGTGTCTGCATGACAAGACACACACGCATAAAACAAGTTCCACGTTTGGATGGATCCCATCCTCATGCCTCAGGCCTATCTCCTTCTGTGTTATCTGGAATCAGGGATAGACGATTCACCCACATCCCATCACCCATCTAATCATGGTCCTTAACAGGGCCAGCTTGGCTGCCACTCTAAGGCAGGAACCAAATGAGCTCAGATAAGGAGACGCAGGCTGCAGGCTACCGCATAAGCTTTCCCATAAGCCTGGAGCTACTCTACCTTCCAGGTTTTCCCTTTCTTCTTTGCCATCCGGTGCTTCTGGCTTAGATATCTATTTACCTTCTGCAGCTGCTTCACTAAGGTTTCCTTGCCCTTCCCCCTCAGCTCTTGACCTTGAAACTTGTTGGAGTCCTCCAGTGTTCTTCTAACACTGACTAACAACAAGGAGGGTTTCCTCTTCCACCTGGTGAATTTAAGATGGGACCTGGAGCCAACCGACTGTAAGCCACTAGCAGCTGGTGCCTGTGAGCCTGAGGCTACATCCCAGTATGAGGCAGACATCTCTACCCTGCGGGCTACACGGCTTTTTATTGTTTGTTCCTTTGCTTGGTTTTCGAAGGGTATTTTAGTATTGATTTTGTTTTATCAAAGACAAAACTTTTATTTAGCACTCCACGAGTTACAGAGCAATCCAGGACATCAAATTCCAAAATGAGACTCAAGTAACATAATCAGCCTTGATGTGAGATTCAATTAGGAACTGCCACAATGAAGTCCAAAGGACACGTCTGTCAGCAGATTTGTGACTATAATAGTTATTTCTCTTTCAAACGTGGCACCAAAGGACTTATCCAAAGGCACATAATCTCAAATTTAGCAAGAGAAAAATTATCTCCCAATTAAAAATATTTTATTTCTAGCCTAGCTTCAATCTTTCACCATTTCTCCACAGAGAAGGAAAAACCAAACAAACACATGAGACAAATCTAAGAAGAAAATCCGTCAAGTGTTGGGAATAAACATGAGCTCATCAGAATGAAAAACGAGGGCCAGGGATATGTTACCTCACAGGAGTGAGAGGGGTTCGCACGTGCAATGCAACATTTTACAGTCCCTGAGGGCAATAGTAATTATCATGTATGTATTTACGTGTGTACGCACACATACACACACACGTTCTTTTTCACCTGTTTATATTTATATATTTTTTAATTGGTGAGACTTCCAGAGAAAAAGCTAAAGCTTGTTCGGTTCACATCACAAACAGCTCATGATATTTCTTATCAGCGGTTAGTTACTATTTAATTCTGATAATGCTGCTTCTCAGGAGGAGCAGCGCTCACTCCCTTTGTGCCAAGTCTCTCTCCTTGAACCGACAGATGATAAGGATTCCTGAGCCCCTGGTGTAAAAACAATTGATCAATGCATTTTCATTTGCTGAGTATTCCTTTAAAATGCCCAGCTGTCCAAAACTCCTCATGGAGCCAGAGGGAATGCCTAGGCGTTAGAGGAAAGGGAGAGCCTTGCTTTGGGGAAAGTTCAGAAGTCTGGGGACACAAATGTATGACACCCATGGACCAACCTATCAACCAGTGCGGATGTTTCAATGTCTCTAAAAATGTTCTCTTCGCTAGTCAATCACTCCATGGGCAGTGCCACGCACTGTTACAAAGGACACAGTCGGGAGCTACACCTAGTCTCATTTTACACAGAAACTTGCTCAGTAGAATACCAATCTGTCCCTTTTTTATTTAATAGGATTTGGGAAAGATAGAAATTGGAGGACCACAGAGAAATACAGCCTTTAAGGAAACTACCACAGCTGGTTAAATAGCCACACACAACCCATACCCGCGGTCATGGTTTACAGAAACGGTCTGACGAGCTCTTGTTCCTAGAAACATCTGTTCTTTGGCAAAAAGATGACCCATGAGCCCTTTCTTTGTTTTGTAATTTTTCTCTCAGATTCAAATTTTGGGGACCTCAATTGGAAATCCAGTGGGGACACAGAGCTGATCCCCGTCATGTCTGTCTGGGCCGGATGGGCAACTCCATGGGTACAGCTAGGCTCGAGCCAGCTTGCACTGTTGCCTGCCTGGTACTCACGCCTTAGCAGTAAGAAAGCAATGAAAACATTCACAACCAGGCACCCAGGGCAGAGAGCTAAGTGAATTTTCAAAACCCACAGCTTGAGAAATGTTTAAATATCAAAATTGATAAATTGGCTCAGTAGTCAACTCTTACAACTGCCTGTCAAATCTTTAAAATGCAAACTTTAAAAAAAAAAAATGTGAACTTAGATTTTGACCACGATCATCTCAAGTCAAAAGAAACATCAAAAACTTCAATTAGACTCACACTGTACATGGAGAAATGAGTTTTAAAAGCTCCAGGATGTTATTTCCTTATTCAAGGAAACATAGACACTTCTTTGCATGTATTTATTTCTGAGCTTAGATTACTAATTTTGTCTCTCTTCTGCTAGCTTCTGCCAAAGAAAATTTCCTAGAATTATAATTTTCATTTAAACACATTTACACTTGTCACAATATGTTTAAGATGAGCAACAATGAAACAGACTCCAGACAAATAAAATGCCATAATTACCTTCTGCCTGGCCCACAGTCTTCGCCTTCAGGCATTTCTGCCCTTTAAGAATAACTGCGGCAGCACCTGCCTCCACAGCGAAGACAGCCAGACAACGCTGTCTTTTCCACTCACCGGTGGGCAGGAGAATTCTTCCCTTTCTGGAGAAAAGGGCTCCTACTCTACTCAGAAAGTCGGTGTTTACAAACTTGCTGAGTGCCTGCCTACTGCCCTGAATGAAGCAGACCAGTGGACGGCTGTGACAGCCCCCTGCTAAAAATAAAGAGGTCACCTCTCAGTCCAGGCACTCTGACAGGCAGCTGGGCGGGAGTGTTGCCCAGGGGCCCAACATTTTCCCTGAAGTCGTGTGAGAAGGTGTCACCAGGGATGACTTCATCCAGCAGCCTGCCTGCCCTCTTTCCTTTTTTTTTTTTTTTTCCTGGCAAGTTCTAGGCACCTACCAAAGGTGCAGTGGCCAGAGGCAGGTTGAAACCTCACTCCGGCTATCAGATCTCCTCCTTTGAGTCACAGTGGGGAGTTGGAGAGCAGACAGAGAGAGAGAGACAGAGACAGAGAGACAGAGAGATGGAAGGAGGGAGGAAGGGAGGAAGGGAGGGAGGGAGGGAGGGAGGGAAGGAGGGACAGAGAGGAGAAGGAGGGGCAACAAAACAAAGCTGTCCCAGCAGTAGAGAGCTAGGTTTGTTTGAACGATACCTGCTGCTCAGCAAAAAGTCTCTTACTCAAAAGGAGAAAACAAAACAAAACAAAGAATACAAAACAAAAACAAAACCCCACAAAGTCATGAGGCAGTCAGTTGTGAGGGACACTGATTTGCAAGGAAAGCTCTCTCTGGACCATAGAGGTTCCCCAGTTCACAACAGGCACACACATGAACGTGAGCCTGTGTGCCCACGTGACCAAAAGCTCCTCCCCCTCCCACAGTGGTACTGTGGCCAGGGAGCACAGGGAGCAAGCATAGGCACATGACCCTGTGGTGGCTTTGGGGGACTTTATACTTCAGTTCCTTGATGGGCATTTCTCAATCTACTCCCATCACAGTGCCTTGTTTACCAAATGCCAGGAGACTCCTTTACCACCACCCAATAAAAACACTGAGTTAAAACCTGAACCCATTCTCTTTTCCTATTTTCCTATTAAGAACATAAGGGAACACTCAAAAGAAGATCTAATAATTAAAAAGTGATAATTTTTCCTTTTAAAAGTGCATGATCTATTTGTTGTGTTAGATGTCTTTTATGGGGGTATTTTACATGATGACTTTGCTAAAAATGGTTTTCCAGATCACTGAGGCATGGAAAAGTCAGAGGATTTAAAATAATTTTCTGCTTTCTTTTGGAAAATGTTGGTGATCTTGTGGTGTATGCATGCCAACTTTAACGGGCAGTGGTGGCGCACGCCTTTAATCCCAGCACTTGGGAGGCAGAGGTAGGCGGATCTCTGTGAGTTCGAAGCCAGCCTGGTCTACAAGAGCTAGTTCCAGGACAGGCTCCAAAGTTGTAGAGAAACCCTGTCTCGAAAAAAAAAAAAGAGAGAGAGAGAGATACTGAAAGGACACAGTATTTCACACGAAATGCTGCCATTAGAGACTTCAAGCCTAAGGCCTGAAATACATACACACGCCTAAGGTGGATCTATGTATCAAATGCGTAACATATTTTCAAATAGGGCATACTTTATGGATCTGCATGTCATCCTTGCACAGGATCATGCCAATCTTCTCTGTATTATTCCAACCTTAATAAATGCCCTGCCAAAGTGAGCACTCTCAGATACGTAACTTGAAAGCCCATTCCCCTTCAGAGGTTAGTAGACCAAAGTAGAACAGCCTCTGGAGGCCAAAGCTATGCACTACATCATGAGACACTGCAGCTTTGTAAGAGCTGAGAAGCTAAAATGCTAAGAGCGATCTCCATGACGTCAGCGCTTGCCCTGAACATAGACAGCACCAGGGGCTAATCCCACTGTCTCATGCTCGCTTCTGACCAGTCTAGCACTTTAATTTTACTCTGTCTCTCTCCAAGCTCCCATCCATTTCTTAAAAAGCTAGACCGACCTCCGCTTCTGGTTAGCACTGATCTGAAGACACACCCCTGAAGCACCTCTCAGTTCCGGAAGAATTCACTGACAGAGTGCCACCTCTTTGGAGTGCTCAACCCTCGGTGCATTTCCAGATTACTTGCTACAGCTGGATTCCCCCTGAGGGATTTCTGTGGCATTTTGTAAAATTCACAAGGATAAGGATGGAAAATAAGGACAGCACAAGCAACAAATCCCAGACTGTTGCTACTGGCTGGTGACTGTTCCTACTGAGACTCTGTTACTTTCTGTACTGGAAACTAGGTACTGTGGGTCTGCTCACGCTGTTGACCTGAAAAAATAGTGGACAACCAGAACTTAAAATGACCCAAGGAAACTCTCTCCAAGATTTTCAGATGTTATCGTCACCTCAGAAAGTTAGATGGGCTACTGGGGACAGTCGCCTACAAGTTGGAGGCAGTGCCTCTAGCCAAAGCCAGAAGAGCCCTCACAACAGGCAAAAGTCCAAAGCTCATGTCCCAGACATTTTTGAGGTTTTAGGTTTCCCTCTGCTCATGCTCTCCTCAAATATGCGTACATTAACTTTTAGTAATGTATTTTATTTTTCCTTTGACATTCCATATGGCCTAAAAAAAAAAAAACATCCATCTCCGTTCCATGGTGTCTACAGCCTCCACAAATCTACAGTATAAAAGTTTTATATTGTTGCTATATCCTCAACAGCAGCTTCGAGGAACACTCAGGCTCCACCAGGAATAACAGGGCAGACCCCACTCCCATCTCTTGGAGATTAAAAAGCAGTCTGAGCAACGAAGGGCAAAAAGCCGCTGCCCTTGTAGAGTGCCCTTGTAGGCTGTTCTCATATTCCCTTCCAATGTCACCAGGTATCAACCTGGATTAGTCCCAGGCATTGCCTTCCAGGATAAAAACTAGAATGCTCACTGCGTCTGAGCGAAGGAAGGCTTTGTGTTTACGTTCTGACTGAGGGGGTGTCAGCAAAGTCATTGGGCAGCTCCAGGGACTTGTAGTAAATGACACCCCGGTGTAGTCCTTCTACCTCCTGCTAGAGAGGTTTCAGACTTGATAGCTGGGTCTCCAGAAGCCACTTTCAGTAAAATGTGACCTGTGCAGTGGAGGGAAAGCCTGGCAGAGTCCTCACGACAAAGCAGCTGCCTGGGTTGGCAGACAATGAGAGCAGTCAACGGACTACATAACTTTTACTTTTTTGTAAACTGTAAGTGAGACAGACCAAGATGTTTAACGTCACTGTTCTTTTGAAACACCAGTGGAGTAGCTCCGTCTCACCCATGGTTTTCTTTTCTATGTTTTCAATAACCCAGAACCAACCATGGTCTAATAATTCCAATAGGAAGTCCTATGAAGCAACAAGCCATCAATTTCATCTTAAATCGTCCTGTGATGTCCTCCATTTTCTGTCCTGGCTTTATTTCTATCCCAGCATGGGGATCATTTTTCTTTTCCAGTACCAATGATGTGTATGTTGCCTGCCCCTTAGTCACTTAATAATCATCTTGAGTTATCAAATAGACTATCAAGGTAACTGTAGTGCTTAAATCCAAGTGACCATTATTAAACCTATAATAATAGCACCAAAGCATAAGGTGCTTCCTTTAAAATGATAAGGTGAAAGTTCTTGGCTTAATAAAATTTTGAAAACCATGCTATGATCTGCAGGACATTATAGATCTGTACTCTACCTGCTTCATAAATAAAACTTTATCATATGTATGCATGGCTGTTTTACAAAAACAATACATATAAGGTTCAGTTAATGTGTGGATTCAGACATCCACCATGGTCTTAGAAGATACCCTCTGTGGATAAAGAGGGACTACTGTAGTCAACCCAATTATTTCCTGCCCAAACTATTTCCCTAGACGTATAAACAGTGGACATCAAAACAAAACAACAACAACAACAACGGCAGTAAAACTAAGACCAAAAGTAAAGCCGAGATCCTTCCATCAGGCCGCACTGTGCGGGAGGAAAGAACTGATGTGCCCTCCTCCCCGGCTGCCGCACGAGTCTGCCATGTCTGAAACATGTCAAAAATGCCACTTAAAAAGAACACTATGGGGCAAGATTTAACAACTGTACTATTAGGGGTCCATTTTTTATAGAGCTACTAATGCAACCACAGGGGCCCCACCCTAACTAACTTATCAACTCTTAAGTACCTCCGAGTGGCCTCACCTCCAAATATTGTCAGCATATGAATTTGCATACTGAGCTTTCCCTGGACATGGGCCTCTTTCTTGGGAGCACATCAGAAACTCAGCACTTACCCTCTAAGAAACTTTCTGTCCATCAATCCTCACCCCTCATGACCATCTGTCTCCTTGGCTATGCGTTCCCACTCTCTCTCACTGAAAAGTTAAACCCGATTTCTCCCTTCTGCTGCAGAGACCCTTACACACCAGTCTCCTGAATCATCTGTCTTCCCACTCTGTGATGTGTCAGGATAACTTCCCAGCAGCAGAAGTTGTCCCTGAGGACAGTGGACAGCTATGACCCAGTAGCTAGGGACACAGACTTTGGACCCGGATGTGGATCCTGGTGGAAAGTCACCGCTTTCCATCCCAGTGACTCTGGCAAGTTCTCCACAAATCCCTGCATGTGGGCTTCCTGGTGTGACTGAAGTGTCGTCGTCATGTGGCAAGCACTCTGTGCTGAGGAAACGGCAAATGTGCTGCTGTGAACGGCACTACCCTCTGAGTAATGCTAAAAACCACACATTAGCAGTCCCATTGTGGCTTCCGGACTGATGGACTGGTTCATTACCCAGGACTAACATTTGGTCGGTTATTCTAGAAGGAACCTCTTGACTCTTAAAGTGTAGAGGAACATTAACCTAAATCCCTGGTAATACCACAACATCCAAACTTAGGTACTATATGTACTTCAAAGGGAACAAGCCTTCCTTGTGCATTGTGAGCCTGGCTGTTCTCAACACCACATCTCTCAGATTCGGATGATAGACAGCTACCGAAGCTTCAGGGGCATCGGTCACCCTCTCAGAGGCTGCAGTGGTTCTCAGTCTCTGTGATGCACTGTGCTGGCCCAAGTCTACAGGGCACTGAAAACAAACAAGGCAGGCTACCTTAAGGAGGTAATTTCTGAATAGTGTCATTCGGTGCCAGTTCAGGCAGCTCTGGGGATAGGCATGCCACAAAGAGGCAGAGGGCTTGTCAGCTGATGTCAGGCAGGGTATCCTGGGATGTTTGTGGCTGTTAGGGAAGGCCCATTCTATTTCAGAGGCCTTATCTCGGTCCTTCTCACAGTCCCTCAGCTGGCTGCAGCCAAGTAAGTAAGCATACCCGAGGTGTGGCTTGGCTCCCTAGTTGGCCCTCAGGCACCTGGATCTCCAGGGGAGTTTCAGGGATTTTCTTGTAGGTAGAAATCTGGCAGGGGTAGCTAAAAGATCCTCTTTAATCCACAAGTCCTCAGCACCAAGACTCCTAGCCCTTTCCCTGGGACCCGGGAGAAGCTCTGCAAGCCTGGCTGGGATGGGAGCCTTCCTGCCTCAGTTTACACAGTCAGGTGCCTTCTGGATTCTTTCTGTATCTTCCTCATGGGTCAGAGCCAGAGTTCTCCAGGTCCCTTCAGGGCTCTAATAATCTTAATGTTTTATCCCCTCTAACTCTTCACCCCTTGATCTCAGGTCAGCTCTCCCTTGCAGAGCAGACTGGATGGATCCCTCAGCCAGGGTCTCCTGAGGTGAGCACGTTCCTCCAGTCCCTGCTGCTACATCTTCTCTGCGTTTCTGGAGGTAATGCCTTGTGATGGGCACCTCCATCTGGGTTTTCCCAAGAGCACCTTAGAACATCAAAAAACACCCAGATACAATCGCATCATTTGCCTCCTACCCTTTCCTCATTCCCACCCCTCCCATGTCCCTCTGCCTGCACGCTCTCAAATTATGGCCCCTTTCTTCAGTTGTTTTTACACACACACACACACACACACACACACACACACACACACACACTTCTAAATATATAAATACAACCTCCTCAGTCCATATAATGTTACATACACCCACATGCACACATACATACACATGCACACATATGACTTCAGGGATGACTACTTGGTATTGGATAACTAATTGGTCTGCTCCTCCGTGGAGAAGACTATTTCTCCTGCTCCCAGCCTATAGTTGCCTATAGCTCTTTGTCTAGGGTTGAGGACCAAGCTAGTCACTAAGCCTTGGTTGCAGGAACTGTGTTGTAAATGTATCAGCTGGGACTGGGAAACACATTATTTCTAATATTAGCACACAAAAATCCCCAAAATGCACCATTCACAGTAGTGTCCACTGGCCACCCGTTCTAGGGACTGAACACCCTCTTCTAGCCTCTGGAGACACTGCACACACACGGTACACAGACATGCATACAGGCAAACCACTCATGCATATAAAATAAAAACATTTAAAGGTGCAGCGCTAAAACAACCTTAGCAACTGTTTCAATGTTTCTGGAATTGCTGTTAGTCAGAAGGGACAAAGTAGAGGTCATAAAAGGTAGCAAGAGGGTGACACTGACAACAACAGTCCACAGGACATTTCCTCCCTCCAGATCCTGACTCAGGCGAAAAGACAGGCCCTTCTCTCGCTGCCCATACTCCACTGGTGTCAGCAGAGAATTCATTTTCCACAAAAGTTCAGAGGACACAGTGTACACTTTGCACCAGTGGGATTA